CAGTTTGCTCATCTGTAAAATGAAGACATTGATATAAATGAAAACAGGAAACAAGCATTTATTAAGTGCCTTGTTGTTTGTCCATTTTTTTTGGGGGGGGGGTGAGGCAATTGGAGTTAAGTGACTTGGCCAGGGTCACACAGCTAGGAAGTGTCAAGTATCTGAGGCCAGACTTGAACTCACGTCCTCCTGACTCCAAGACTGGAGCTCTATCCACTGTGCCACCTAGCCATTCCTGTCCTTCATTTTCAAAGAGGACTGATGACATTGTGGGTGATGTCTTCATTCTAGAGTGAGTTGAATTGAAGTGAGGCAGAGTCACACAAAGTTGTCAGCTGCACACTCTCTTCCTGAGTCATTGAAGTCCAGTGGTAAGGCAAAAGTCAGGATAACTGGGAACAGCCTGGTATGAAGTAGAAGACCTTGGCTTCTTTGATGTCTGACCAAGGTCTAAGCACTCCACAGCACCTGCTTCAGCCGCCTTCATGGCCCATGGAATAAATTATTCTCATCTGCCCATTCCACAGGGAGAAGTCTTCACATGCTTGGGGTAGACACCCCCCAACTCACTGATGGGTTTGAGGCCTGTCGGTTACCCTCAACCGGGTTTAGCCCTTCTGCCTAGCCAGGCCCTGTGCTAAGCACTTTACAAATATTCTCTCTTTTGATCCTCAGAACAACACTGCAAGGTAGGTGCTGTTATCATATCTATTTTATAGATGAGGAAATGGAGGCAAACAGAGGTTAAGTGACTTGTCCAGGGTCACAGAGCTAATTTGAGGTCGAATTTGAACTTAGGTCTTCCTTATTCCAGGACCTGCACTCTATCCACTGGTCCACCTAGCTGCCTTGGAGGGTGACATCAGAGGTCCTCTCAGGCGTCAAGAAAATGTACGATACTTTGTGGTACCAACAAAACAAGATAGAAAAGTGGCAAATGAAACTCACTAAGTTTGGAGCCATTTACTTAGGGCAAGGCATTAGGATGAAACATAATTACTTCGAAGAATAATTGAGAAAAGAAGAGACTTGATCAGCCTTCATTGGGAGCTCCTGGTAAACTCTCCCTACTAATTCAGATCGATAACTGCTTTGCCATTTGTGGTCTTAGAGAGTTGCTTGGGGTTCTTAGAGGTTAAAGGATTTGCCCAGGGTTCCACTATGAGAATTTGTCATAGGTGGCCTTGAACTCATACCTTTCTGGCTCTGAGGTCACTTCTCTAGCCACTACTCAATGCTTCCAAAAAGAAGACCCCATGAGGAAACTGAGGTTCAGAGAAGTGAGCCTCATCATCCCTCTCCCAGCTCCACTGAACCCTGACATTCTGGGCTTCTCCACCATGACCTCGAAGCTTTCTCACCCTGCAAGACACCTCTTCCCCTTAGTGTCCTATTGGTGAGATCATCTCAAAACAGCCATTTTATAGAAGTGCCCAGACCAGCCATGCTCCTGACATTTCCACTGTGTCCTGGTTTGGGGACTTTCTCCTTCCCCTCCTTCTTTCCTCTCCCCACTTTTCAGCTTCCCACATTAGAATGTCTTCCCTTTTGCTTTTATGTGTATTCCCAGCATTCAACCCAGTGCTTGGCACACAGTAAGCGCTTAATAATTATTTGCTGATTTGTTGACTTGAAGCAATTTGTCCTTGTTTACATGTTTTAGAGACAGGATCTCTTGACTTCACATCCAATGAGATTCTTGGGCCACTAAGCATGCCTTCTGCTCTCTGGGCTTCAGTCTCCTCTACTGAAAAAAAAACCGAGGATGTTGGACAATGGTCCATAAGATCTCCTCCAGCTCTGATCCTCTCTGATTCCATAATATTGCCAGCTCAGAGCAGGCCTGAGCCAAAGACCTGTAGGTGGATGGTGCTTTCTTCTAAACCTAACCAAGCCAGATTCCTTTGTTTTGGGTAGATCAATTGGTGTAGTCCAACTCAAAAGTCTTGCCATTTGGCATCTCATTATAATGTAGATACGGGGTATTCAGGGAGTACAAGAACCTCTGGGGTTGCCAAGACCATTTCAGGGCTACTCATTCACCTTTGGTGGCCACCTGTCCCCCGACTCTTACCTGTGGCTCCAAGAAGCTGTAGTATGTGCATCTACCATGCCCCAGTAAACTGGCTCAGCAGATGGGCTAAATTAGGTTGAGGGCAACCAACAGGCCTCAAACCCATCAGTGAGTTACAGGGATGTCTACCCCAAGCATGTGAAGACTTCTGCTGGCGGAATGGGTGAATGAGAACAATTTGTTTCAATGGCCATGAAGGCCGCTGATGTTGGCACCATGGGGCGCTTGGAGCTTGGTCAGGCATTGAAGAAACCATGGTCATCCACTGCATCCCGGGCCATCATCAGTCATCTTGACTTTTGTCTTGCCACTGGACTTTGATGATTCAGGAAGAGAGATGATGCTGATGATTTTGTGCAACACAGCCTCACTTCAATTCAATTCATATACAAGCCAAGACATCACTCATGATGCCATTAGTTCTCTTTGAAAATGAAGGACAAACACCAACAATAATATAGATACTACGTCCAGTTCCTGCAAGTTCTAGCTGTCCCACAGAACCGAGTTCTTCTCACCAGAGGCTCAGGCTCATGCCAAAAATGAGAAGGGATTCTATTTGGATACACTAACATTGAATCTTCATCATGGTGCGCAGGGGACTCTGGGTTTTCAAAGGCTCAGCCAATGGAAGGCCAGCTCTGGTAAGTTACACCAGGCTGGGAAAACTTCTTGCATTGGCCTGATTATGGATTGTGTCTGTCATCTGTGGAGAGCCATCCAGCTAAAGGTGAGGAGGTGGCCATGGGAGTGATGGACTATTTGACCGCAACAGCTCAGGAAAACTTTCCACCAAAGCATGATTTCCAGTAGCATCAGGGAAGGAAGTATCCACCCCGATGAAATCATAGATCCTTGATAGATTACCTGCTTCTTGTCCATCCTTTCTTCCATCCATCTGCCACACAGCTGTTAAAAATCACCTTCCTCAACACGTCTCTGTCACTGTCCTGCTCAAAAGCCGTCAGGGGCTCCCTATCGCCTTTGGAATAGAATGAAAATTCCTCAGCCTAGCTTTGAAAGTCCACCACAATCTGCATCTGACCTAACTTAGATTATACTATATAGATGATGGACTATTTCCCTTATGTCTAATGTAGTGGAAAGAACAAGGGCCTTGGAATTGGAAACCTTGGGCTTGATCAAGTTATCTTATTCCTCTGACCTTTGGTTTTTCTCATCGTTAAAACGAGAACAGTTCTTATCCTCCCTTATCCACAGTTGCTATAAAGCTCAAATGAGAGAATAGACATAGTCTGTAATCATCACATGAGAGATATTTTTTCATATGTCTGACATAGCTAGGTGGTGCACTGGATAGAGTGCTGGGCTTGGAGTTGGGAAGGGAAGCTCTAAATTTAAATCCTGCCTAAAACACTTGCTAGCTGTGTGACTCTGGGCGAGTCAGTGTAACCTCTCCATACCACAGTTTCTCCACGTGTAAAATGGAGATAATGGCACTTGCCTCACAGGGTCATAGTAAGGATCAAATGACATAACATGTGAAGCACTTTGAAAACCTTAAAGCATCATGTAAATATTAGCTGTTATTATTATTAGACTTTAATACGTCAAGGATACGAGGCAGTGTGGTACAGTAGAGTGAACGTTGGCTCTGGAGCATGAGGACCTGGGTTGAAATCCCACCTCTCTCACTACCTACCTTTGTGTGCCTCTGTTTCTTCATCTGTAAAATGAGGGGATTGGACTAGAAGGCCTCTGAGTTTCCTTCCAGCCCCAGAAATGCCAGTCCCTGCTGTGCTTTGGCACACAGCTGGGTGAGTTTCTGGGCCCAGAGCAATCTTCCCCCTAGGGCGGAGCCTCTCCACATTGAGTTAGGACCCGCTGGGATGAAAGTTACCCAGTCCAAGGTTTAGGCTCTCATCAGTACCTTAGGGCTTGTTCTCCATTAACAGAGTCTTCAGGAGCCTGGGATCAACTCTACAACACAATAAAAGTCCGGAGGGCGAGGGAATGAGTGAGATGGAAGGAAGGCAGGACACTTTAGTGGATGGGGTCTATGAATACAAGGCTCATCTCTGCCTTGATACTTTCTCAACCAGTCCTGTGAAGCCTGTATTCTTCTCCAAACTAAGTGGCAGAAACCAAGGAGCAGGTCTGGGGCCCAGATGTCCCATGCCTTGTTCTTTGGCTCAGGGGAGTCACAGTGGAAGGGCCCGTGGGGCTTGCGGGTTAGAGCTGCAGCCCTCCGGACTGCACTGTGCCTGGGGGCTTCTCAGCGCAAGGCCCCAAGCTCTAGGATGTCCCTAAGTCCCAAATCAGATTGGAGCCTGAGAACCTGAGAGTAGGAAAGCTAGGGGTCCACTCTGAGTCTCTGATACAAGGGCCCTAGGGATGGAAGAAGCAATAGAGTAAAAGCAGTCTAGGTGCCTCTAACCTGCGTTTAGGGCTAACTAAATTCTAAACTGGAGAAAAGAGGAAATATATTGCTACCCTCCCTAATTGAGAACCCCTTGAGGGTAGCATAGGGGAAGGAGAGCTAGGTTTGGAGCAGAGGACATGTATTTGAATCCTGCATCTGCTACTTTCTCTCTGGGCCTCACTGTCCCCTTCTGTCAAATGGGGGGGAGTCTGGTCTAGATGAGGTCTCTTCCATCTCCAACATTCTCGGTCCCATCTTAGGGAGCAAATCCTGCTGCTTTCCTCTGTGAGAACCACCTCTTATCCATCCTGAGAGAAGTGAAACCCAAAGCACCCAAGAGCTGCTCTCTCAGTGGAACATACCAAAATTTACCCAACCACAGTGCCCATCTCTAGAAACAAGGAGGCTGGGCGATACCACAAACCCCACACTGAATGTGACCACAAGCTTAAAAGACAATACACTTTGGCCTTATAAATAGAAAAGATAGTTGTGCCCCCCCCCCTCCCCGAAGTGTTAAGCTGTATGGCCTCATCCCATGGGTCTCAGGGCGCAGCCCAGCCTCATTAATCAGAGAGAGGGAGCTGCCCCCTGGGAAACGGAAATGCTCAATGTGCACTCAGGCTCTTGTACATCTCACTCTGACATTTCCCTGCCATGTTTTATAACATGGTAGGAGGCTGAGAGCTGTGAGCTTTTTATTTATTTATTTATTTTTTTTTTGGTGAGGGAAGGAAGACCCACAGTCCCTCTCAGGCTAGGGAGCCAGAATCGATGCACAAATCAGACTGTCCGGTCGGAGTGGCTGTCGGACGAGCCCTTTGGGGAGTCGGGGGAAGGCTTGCTGGAGAAGAAAGCAGAGAAAAGTCGCAAGGTAGGCACCTCATTTCTTTTCTGCCATACCATGCCTTTCACTCAAGATGCCTCATCCATAGGGCCCTGTCCTTGGCTTGCTGCATCGGCTCCCTGGGGCATTTGGGGAATACCTTGAGCCTGGACTGGCCATGGGGATCATTTCCTCTGGATTTATCTTAATGGGGTGAGTCTGGTGGCTGGGTGGCTGCTGAGGGGTAGGTGGGCCGTTGGAGAGTTGAGAATTTTATAGACTCTTGGGAGGGGGTGTCTTCTCTGACCTCTCTCCCAATGGGTCTCAAGCAACTGATGCTCATGAAACAACCCTAATGGATTTTCCCCAGCAAAGCAGCTATGTGTGGTCTGACAGAGTATCACACACAGAGAGCTGATGCTTGTCTAAGACAATTCTTGGTCCACAGTGCTGGATATAATAGGTTTTCTTCTCTTTGTCATCTACAGAGTAAATACAGTACATAATCTACTTTCCCATCCATCCTCCTTTTCCCCCAGCTTTTTATCTATAATAAAAAACTGTATTGGGTGAATTATGTTGTCTAGGGTCCCCGATCCACATGGCTGCTGCTCCTTCATATACTACCCTATATACATTGGACACTTGGACTGGTAAAACTCATTGCTTTCGCCAAGACTATCTGGAGAAATTCTGCTTTTAAAAGAGGGGAGGGTGGCAGCGTAAGACTCAAACAAGCCATTTTTTTATAATGAGAGAGAGGGGAAATAAGACAGATTCCTGCTGTTCTGTTCTTTGTAGATAAGCTTTATCTATTGGAAGAAATATTCGGCGGTGGCCGAAAAACAAAATCAACAGTGATTCCAAGGAATTGGGCTTCAGTTTGCAGCTTGCAAACACTTAAACAGCCTTAATTTGTTTGGACCAAACAGAAGTGTCAGTTTACTAGTTTTCTCAAGAGAATTATCTGTGAAAATTCCCTTTAATTTGAAACCAAATGAGTCAAGCTGGAAGGGATGGGGGGCTGAGAACCACACAAAATAGGAGAAAGTAGAGGGGAGATTTCTGCTCACTTGGAGGGGACAGTGCTGCACCTCCCCCCCCCACCCGCCAAGAGTGCTCCCATGCTTCTCAGCTCCACTGTCAACTGGGCCTGAGGAGGAGAAAATAGCAAACCTTCGTAAATGTGAGTTGTTTCTGCTGCTTCTGCTGCTTCTGCTGCTTCTGCTGTTATTCTATTCAATTAGCAGGGCTAAGTAGTTAGTGAGCCAAAGGGTAGCCACAAGAATTCCCCGTGCATGGGTAAAAGATATATGGCAGGTAGATCGGCATTCAGCCCTCTTCCCCAGGCCCAGGGTGTGTAGTAACAATCAGCTAACATTCTAATTATAAAAATCAGCTCTCTGAGACAGAAGGATACATGTGGCCATGGCTGAATTGTTCTGCCAATTGGCTTTGAAAAGACTCCACTCCAAGGGACCTGGGTTCTAATCCCAGCTCTATAACTTCCAGCTGTCTGACCTGGAGTAAGTTCTTTCCCCAGCCTAGGACTCAGTTTCCTCAACTGTCAAAGGAGGGTATTGAGCTAGATGACTTAATGAGATCCCTCCAGCTCTCAATCCTATCAAAACCTGGGAAATGGAATCATCAGCGACTCCCTTCTGCTGGGACCACTGGCCAGGCAGTGGGTCATCAAACCTGTTCCATAACATGGAACAAATGAGATTCCTGCTGGAAAACTAAGAGTAATGGACAAATTAGACTCACCTCTCATTTACAGGTAAGGAAACTGAGGCAGAGAGAGATTAAGTGACCCGCCCAGGGTCACACAGCTATTAAGTGTCTGAGGCTGGATTTTAAACACACTGTACCATGGTGCCTGTCCACAGGGTCACATTGTTTGGGCGGCCTGAAAGTGTGCTCAGTTCTAGGAAGAGAATTCTCCTCATGCCAATGGTTGACCTAAGGGTCACAATAGGTGTCCTGGTGTCTGATAAGCCAGGAAATGGCTCCCAGGGCTTTCTGAGCATCAGGCTAGAGATAAAGGCCCAAAGGCCAGGAGCAATTTCCCATCTTTTGGGTTACAGTACTCACTTCTGCTTGAATGACAGAATACTTTTACAGCCACTATTTCATTTCTTCCTCACTATGGCCCTTTAGATTTGACATCTAGAAAAGCTGAGGCCCAAGGAAATTGGGTGACACCACTCAAGTGAGTTGTTGGGGAGAGCCAGGGCTAAAACCCCTTCATCCAGGGTGCTTACCACTATGTCAATGCTGCCCACCAAGGCAAGCAGGAAAAATGGTAGAGGGGCAAGACAGCCTGGCTCCAAATGCTTGCTACCCGTGTGACCTTGGGCAAGTGATTTCTTCACCTTCAGTTTCATCATCTAGACAGTTAGGGTATTAGACTAGACAATCTCTATGCTTTCTTTCAGTTCTCCATCTTTGATTTTCGGATGATATTCATTGAGAAAAGTGAAAGGAGTTCATTGCAAAAGCCCCTCAGTGGCCTCTTCAAACAGGGAGTTTCTCCCCATAGTCGAGCCAATGCAGCCATCCCTCGTTCCTGTTCATTCATTCATTCATCCATTCGCTCATTCAGCCATCTATGTATTTATTCTTTCATCTGTTCATTCAGCAAGCATATATTATTGTTGTATGCCAGACACTGTGCAGGTGCTGGGGATGCAGAGTCAAAAAGAAAATGGTGCTTGCCCGCAATGAGCTTACATTCCTTTGGGTAGGAAGTAGGAATGGATGTATAGATAATATCAAACATGGACAGAGTAAAGACAAAGTCATTTGGGGAAAGAGGGCACTAATAACCAGGGACAAAGGAATAAGAAAGTCCCGGAGTAAGAGGAGGCCAGTCCACAAGCTGGATCTTGAAGAAACGTGCTCAGGGGCAGGAAGGAATACAAGGTTCAAGCTAGGTAATCGAGGTTAGAATTTTGGCTCTGCCTCTTACTATGTGTGTGAATGTGGGCAGGTTATTTTATTTTACCTCCATGGGCCTCAGTTTCCTCATCTGTAAGGGGAGGAGGTTAGACTATTTGGCTTCTAATGTTCCTTCAAAGACATCCTCTGATGTCCAAAGTGGCTATCTCCTCCTTCCAATGTCTACTCCCGTGGCAGAAGTGGCCTTTCAAAGGTTCTGCCAGCAAAGGACCTGCCCTGGCAGATCCCGCCAAGCACCAGTGGGCTGGCCACTAGGTGATGAATTTTCATCCATAATTGCTCATAAAACCAGCTCTGGCAATGTGGAGGGGCCGCTATCTGTGTCAGAGGAGGGAGCGCCCACACAGATGGAACCACACATGCTGAGGGGGAGGAGGTGGCAAGTAGCTCGTAATCAAGTGAGCAAAGATTGGGAGGAAGGAGGATTGTTTCCTCTGCTTGATTCTATATTTATTTCAACTAGCCCTGTAAACCTGAGATACCAGATTGAGACTGAGGGGGCAGACCTTTCTCCTGACCAGGGAAGACATCCTTTTCCTAAGTCTGGTTGGTTCTGAGCTGCCTGACTTACCCACTTATCTTTGATGACTTTAACCTTGGTTTACTCATCTGATAAATGGAGAGCATTATGCAGCCTCTGATGGGTCCACACAAACCCCCCCATGGGTTTGGCTTCGGGAAATATAGCCTGATTTGGGTGCCACTCAGGGCCTCTGGCTGGCTTATGGTCATAGATTACAAAAGGACCTAAGAGTTCATCCAGTCCAACCTTGGCATTTTATAGATGAAGAGATGAATTGACTTACCCAGGGTCATTCAGAAAATAAGTTGCAGGGTCAGGACTTGAACCCAGGATTCTATAGTTTAGAAAGTTCTTTTGTACCCATCATCTCATTTGAGCCTTATAACAACCCTATGACATGGAAGGAGGACAGGAAATATTATCCCCATTTTTCTGAGAAGGAAACTGAGTCTTTGAGGAAGGAAAGTGACTTGCCCAAGGCCACACAGCTAGTTACTGGTAGCACCAGGACTAAAGTCTAGGTCAAGCGTGGGGAACCTGCCGCCATGTGGCCTTCTAGGTCCTTCAGTGAGGCCTTTTGACCAAGTCCAAGTTTTATAGAACAAATCCTTTTATTGAGGGATTTGTTTTGTGAAGTTTGGATTCAGTCAAAGGGTCGCACTTAAGGACCTAGAGGGCCACGTGTGACTTCGAGACCCGAAGGTTCCCCACCTCTGGTCTAGGTCTTCCAACTCTATCGCTTACTAGCTGTGTGACCTTGGGCAAGTCATTTTGCTTCCTGTAAAACTGTTTCCTCCTCAGAAAAATGAGAAGGCTGGATTAGATTTCTCCAAGGTCCCTTCCAGCTGTAACACTGAGTATTCTAAGATCTCTTCCCCTTCTTCTGTTCCCTGTTCTAAGGTCTCTCCCAGCTCTGAATCCATGCTCCAGGATCCCTTTCAGCTCTGACATTCTCTGCCCTAATGTCCCTTCTAGCTCTGACATTCTTTGCCCTATGGCCCCCTCTAACCCTAGTACTTTGCAATCTATTTCTTGGCTTCTTAGATTTTCACATCAGCAGATAATGGAAAGCCAAATTGCTTGCGTAAATGAGAACTAATAAGAAAATTCCTCCAAAATGTTGAAACATCCTTTTTTTTTAATTAAAAAAAAATAAGATTCCTCTCTCTTCTTCCAGGAAGGCAAAAGCTATTAAGCCTAATGCACATTTGGCAACGGGACAGGCCTAGTGGATTAAGTTTAAGCATCAAGGAGCTGCCCTGGGCAGATTTGTAAACAACCCCTCCCCCTCCCAATAAAGGGCACCGGAATTATCTTTAACACAATGGGGCGGTAAAACTGCTTAAAAATTTACTATCAAAATAAAAACCGTCAGCCATGTAAAGCACGCTGCCGGAAATGAGCTTGGGTTGACATTTGCCAAGCTGCTCCAAGGGTTAAGGGATTATCCAATTCATTTGGTCATCAGAGAAAGAGGAATTGAGCAACCCAGTGCAATTAAACACACCTTTGCCCTCACTGGGAGAGGGAAAAAGATATCATCATTCTGTACAAAATATCAGAG